CATTTTTTAATAAAAGATTATAAAATAATTAAGATCATAATGTCAGGATTAAAAACGTTGATATTCTATCCTCTCATTAAAAAATATTCAGCGACATCTATAATGAAATCAATAGCCTTTTTTGCTCTATACTTGATCTTTATCAAACTAGTAAGTGGTCAAGCTTCAATAACTCATGATGACTACACACCAATTGTATTATGGGATTAAGAATAATCTATTGTCATATAATCTCTTGATCTAACTAAAAATGGATCTATGCATGTTCTTGGAGATAGCATTCCTATAGGAAGCGATGCTTAGAATTTCTATGTTCAGATAGATAATGGATAAATAACCAGATAAATGAACATAATTCCAACTCAGTACTAAATCTAAGATTCAAGTTTTTCCAAACGATGATTATCTTATTATTCATAATGAGCTTAAACCATCAACTTTGCTTGGACAATTTTCATTCCTAATTATTGACTTAAATACTTTTAGCACATTATACTACATAAAGTATCCTGGTACCTTAACCTGGAATTGATAGCATATTGAAATTAGCTCAGATGGAAGTCAAATATATAGACTCTTAAACTTTTTAGAATCAACCAATGGCAATTAACTCGGATTAATGATGAGATATTCAAAAAATTAGAATGGAATTTTTAAGGCAAACTAATATATATCTATAAAGTAAACGCAATATTTTAGACCAATGACTGCTGGATTTCTTTTATCTCCTTAGATTGTTATTCCAGGTTATGTAAATTTAACTATTATAGCACTTATGAGATTTTCATTCACAGCAGATACTTAAATTCAGTATCTTATTCATCCAAATTAAACTAATCAAGATAATTACGCTAGAGCATTTGGTAAGTTTTCTCATCATTTCAATTTTTTTCATAATTTAAATAGGTTATAGTATGCCTTACTATGCAGTAGTTGTAAGAATAAAGGATTATCTTAATGTTTTCTTATTTCATGAGGATGAAACCAAAGAAATAATTCAAATAAAAATTGACATTCTTACTCCATAAAATTTCCAAATACCTTTTGCATCCTCAGCTTAAGCAACAAGATTGATATT